TTTCAAGAGGGAACCTAGATCCAGAGGGCCTGGAGGAAGGTAGAATCTCCAGTGAGTAGTATTCAATCTGACTAGGCGGGGCTGATGCAATGAAATGCATTGTGATACAATAGTGAAGATTGTTATCAGGACTGATTGTGAGGATTAGAAATGTAAATGTAGAAGTTTTATAGCAAGGAGGGGAGAGATTAATTTTTCAGTCTAGGAGCGGAGGTCCCTAGGACCATCAAGGGAGAAGAGCAGAGAGCAGGACCCTACCCAGAGAAGCAGTGATGCCTGAAATGGAGCCAGAGATGATGATGTGGAACGATAGAGCAGCTGGAGACTTTAGATCCAGAGAGGGAGAGCGACTGTGTGCTGAAGACCTGGGGGATACGGGGGAAGGATTGCATGGAGTGGATGGTAACCATGGCAATGAAACGATATACGATAGAATGAATATAAAACTAATTCACAATAAAACATTTAAGAAAAAAAAAAAAAAATCCATTGGATTCCTCTACAGTAACAATGACAGTGCTGAAAAGGATATTAGGAAGGAAAGCAGTACCATTTACAATAGCCGCCCAAAGGTTGAAATATTTAGGAATAAACGTAACCAGAGAAACAAAGGCCCTATACAAAGAAAATTATGAAACACTACTACAAGAAATCAGAAGAGACTTACAGAAGTGGAAGAACATACCATGTTCCTGGATAGGAAGACTCAACATCGTGAAAATGTCATTATTGCCCAAAGCAATTTACACATATAATGCAATCCCACTCCAGATTCCAATAACATTCTTCAAAGAGATGGAAAAGACAACTAGAAACTTTACATGGAAAGGAAAGGGACCCAGGATAAGCAAAGCACTGCTTATGAAGAAGGTTGGAGGCCTTTCACTCCCCGATTTCCAAATTTACTGCATAGCTACAGTGGTCAAAAAAGCCTGATACTGGTACAATGAAAGATACATTAATCAACGGAACAGAATTGAGAATCCAGAAATTAACCCTTCCACATACAGCCAACTAATTTTCGACAAAGTGCCTAGGTATATTGCAGAGAGGAGATAGTGTTTTTAACAATTGGTGCTGGCAGAACTGGAAAGCGATATGCAAAAGATTGAAACAAGACCTTTACCTCACGCCCTATACAAAAATGAACTCAGCATGAATTAAAGATCTAAATGTGACTCCCAAAATTATGAAGGTCATCAATGAAAAAATAGGGACTACTGTATGGACCTTGAATTTTTAATACAGTACATTTTGTGGGGGTTGGTTCCGAACAACAGGTGTACTTACGAGTCATACATTCATAACCTGGGGATTGCCTATATATCCTGCCAGTTACACAGGTCAGTCCTATTCACTGTGGAAGGGGACTACACAAGGGCTTGGATGTCAAAACACAGAGATCATTGGGGACCATCTTGGAAGTTGGCTACTATACTTGATGAAAATTGTGATAATGGTGATGGTGGTGATGGGCTGTTGAGTCCATTCCGACTCATAGCAACTCTGTAGAGGGTTTCTGAGGCTATAAATCTTTACAAGAGCAGAAAGCCTCATCTTTCTCCCACAGAGTAGCTGTTAGATTCAAACTGCTGACCTTGCAGATAGCAGCCCAATGCATAACCCACTACACTACCAGAGCTCCTTGATGATAACAATAAGCTAACAATTTTGCGGTACTGTAGGATCAGCACTGGACTTCTAGCCACAAGATTAACAGCTCAAACCCTCTAGCTGCTCTTTGGAAACTCTATACAGGGTCACGATGAATCAGAATTGGCTCAGTGGCACTTAACATTATATATCAGGCACTGTTCTAAAGTTCACAAAAACTTATATTTGGTACTACTATCTCCATCTTGTAAATGCATAAACTAAGACACAGAGAAGTTAAATGACTTACTAAAGGGCACACAGTTAGCAAATGGCATAGCTGGGATTTAAACTTGGGCTGTGTAGCTCCAGAGCTACACTCTTTTAAAAAAAAAGTACGTCATACGACATCCCAGAGATTACTTCATGTCAATAAGTGTTACCTATTTGTTATCCAGAATGCATAGCCCATTCTGAATTGAAATTGAAACTCCCCATGAGTTTCCATTCGCCATGACAGTTTCAACATGTTTTCTTTGGCTAAACTAACAGATATAAAGCAGAAACTCATCAATGTTTTAATTTGAGTTTCCACAGTTACTATTAAGGTTACGAATATATGTATTAGTCATTCTGGTTTTCTATTTTGATTTTACCTTTCATATTCTTTGTACAATTTTATTCTGTGTTTCCCTTTCTTACTAACTTGTAGTTTTTTACATTCATTCCCTTGTCAATGTTAGACACTGCAAATGTTCCCTCCTAATACATACCCATCTTTCACTTCATTTATGGGATGCTTTGTCAAAGAGAAATCTTTGATTTTGAAGTAAACCCACTCCTCACTTTATCAGCCTGGTTCCAAATTCAGGGTTTAGAACCACAGGTTCCAAAGACAAGGCTGTTGTGTGAAAATCAGCATTATGTGAAAACAGAGAATGACCACATCTGATCACAAAAAGGACAATGTGTACAACATGAAGTAATTGCTAAACCACTGAGAATCACGGCCAAACCAAGAAGCGCATAATCGTAGCCACCACTGTGAGTGTTACTCTCACCTCACATCTCGGCATTCATTATTGCGAGACATATGTCATTAATATGCAAAACAGTGAGACAGTAGACTTCTTCTCTTTTCATAAATGTGAAACGTTGGATAATGAGACAGCTGGTAAGTGAGGAAGGAATAAGTGTAGTCAAATCTAAATCTTATGGATTGTGTGTTGGGAATCTTATTAAGAAATCTATCCTCAACCTAAGGTCACAAAGATATTCTCCACTTTCCCATATTAGCATTTATATTTTACTTTTTGTGTATGCCTTTAATCCCTCTGGGATTAATTAAGTTTTATTATTATATATTAGGTATGAATCTAACATTATTTTTGTCCATTTCGCAAGTCAATATACTCAGCACCATTAGCCATCTGCTCCCCAACTAATCGGTGAGCTTTTAACATATATAGCAAGTCTCCAAATATCCATGAATCTGTGCCTATGTCTAACTTAGCACTCATTCTTACTTTCAAAACACGATTCTATCATTGTGAAAGTTTTTATTCACAATGCTTTCTAGTTGTTTTTAACAGAAAATATAATTATCACTACTAGGATCCTGAGGGGGTCAATATTGGTTGGGTCTTCCCAGAAACAAACTACCCAATTAAAAGAATAACTTTAAAAAAATAAATGTATGTTTATTAATTAAAAAAGAAAAAACCTTACCAAGAACAAATTCTAAGAAACTTAAAATGCAATGCTTCCTCTGAAACTCTGAAAACTAGCAACAGCCAGCATTGGCACACCTGAGAAATACAGGTACCGCAGTCCAAACAGTAGGTCCCAAATGTTCTTCTGGGGTCAGATCTGGTACTCAGTAGGCTGTTGGTCATGTGGGCCCTGATTCCTAGCACAGACAACTGTAATAGCTGCATGTCTGGCTGCTTTGTGCAACTACTGCCACCCAGAGTGACCCCTATGGCCTCAGAAAAGTTACATATCCTCAACACTCCACTTGTAGGCAAGTTCCTCCACCGCCTTCTTGCTGGCAAGTCTGGCAAAACGCTTTTGCTCAAATCCATTGGATCTGCAATCAAGAGAGATACACGAATCAGCCAGAGCCCTGAATTAGACATTTATTTTTTAAAAAGAGTTTTATTGTTTTCCCTTGCCTACTACTGTAAAATACACATTTTGGTGGGATAGAAAGCAATGTCAGGAAATAAAATTACAAAAAGTTTGTAAACTACCTTCAGCCTATAACTGATTGGAATACCTAAAAGAGATTCTAGAACTTGCCCAGTGAAATAGGCTTTTTGTGAAGCCTTTGTAGAGTATGGGTGGGGCCTTAGGTGGAATCCTGAGCCCCATCCAGAATCTTGTGAGGTGGAAATCCCACCTGAAAAGGACATGCAGACCAACCCGGAGTGGCTAGAGGAACAAAAGATACTTCTTGAAAGAAAGACCAGCAGGAAAAACAAAAGGAAACAGACTGTTTGGCTATTACAAGAATATGCAAGCTGTTTGCCTGGGAGCCATCAAAAGCAGGACATCAAGGCCCTTAAGGATAAACCCCTTTCCAAGACTGAACCTCAAAGGGAACACACAAGCAGGCTTGTATGCTCACTGGTGATGGCATTGGTCTACTTGTGAGTGGAAGTGGGGGAAAGGCAGTAATGAGGACATGAGCTAAATTCGACCATGTTCCACAGGCTCTTGTCAACCTTGGGATGAGAGAGAAGATGAAGGGCTGGCTGGTCTGAAGTCTGGGGAGACCTGGGAACTCCTAAGCCCATGGACACTGACTAGAGTTGAGAGTGAAGCATCCAGCTGATATGAAGTGGGGGGAGGCACACAAGAATACCCCAACTTGCAGATAGTATCCATTTGACCTAGCTTCAATGGCTTGATGATCAGAACTCAACTAGAGGAAAATAAATAAATTTGATACAAGTGTAAATTGCTACAATTTAATGAACTTGACCTAACTTATAGATGTTGTTGTTGTTAAGTGTCATGTGGTCGGTTCCAACCCATAGCGACCATGTATAGGGTTTCCGAGGCTGTAAATCTTTACAGGAGCAAAAAGCCTCATCTTTCTCCCGCGGAACTGCTGGTAGTTTCAAACTGCTGACCTTGAGGTTAGCAGCCCAACTTGTAACCATTATGCTACCAGAGATCCATGTAGTAGCATAAAATACCAACTGAGAGAGGGAAGGCGTCTTTAAATCAAGGATCAAGCCTATCCCCTCAGTACACAGGGTAAATAGGGGCAGGCAACTCAAACACTGGCTACCCAAAATGCGGGGCCGGGGTTGGAGGGGGTGGGGAGAAGCCTATAAGGCAAGAAATGGCTGGCTTACAAGTTCTCAAAAGGGACTTTAGTTTCAGAGTGAACAGGGGAAGGCGGAATCCCCACTGAATAGTTTTCATCTTGTCTAAATGGGCCAGGTGAAAGGAGATGGGAATAGGATTCTCTTGGTTTAATAGTAATTGTTATCATGACCAATTGCGATTGTCACTACTGTAAAGGTAGAAGATGTGTAACATAAAGGGGACAGTACTTAATCTTATATTCCAGGAATAGAGGACCCTAGGGCCAGCAAGAGAGAAGTGCATGAACACAGCATGGGATCCTAACCAGAGATGCAGCAACACCAGAGATGGAGATAGAGGCAATGACATGGAGAGAGAGAGAATCTGAGGACGCTAGACTCATGGAAAGAGAAAAGCTGTGTGATCGCGGGCAGGGGGCTGGTTTGCAAAATATGCCATTTGGTTGTTTAAATGATTATATATTCCTGTATGCTTTTGTGTACGTCAAAAAAGAGGGTTGTAATCATTACACTGAAACAAGATGCAATTGGTTGAGTACAAACTGATATTCTGCCATGGAGACTATCACTCAATTCACAATAAAAACTTTAAAAAACGAAAAAGGGGGGGAGGAGTAGTAAATCTTACATTTCAGGAACAGAGGCCCCTAGGACCATCAAGAAGGAAGAGCACATAGGATCCTAACTAGAGAAGCAGCAACACCAAAGATGGAGGGAGAGGTGATGCCATGGAGAAATAGTCGCTGAGGACTCTAAACTCATGGAAAGAAAAAGGCTGTGCGCTGCTAGGCAGGAGGCAGGCTTGTAAAATGTGACCTTTGGTTGTTTAAACGATTATACATTATTCCTGTATGTTTTTGTGCAAACACTGTTAACCGAAGGCACATGGAAGGGATTGTAATCATTGCAATGTAATAAAATATGATTGGATGAATGCAAAACCGGTGTTCTGCCATGAAAATTATCACCCAATTCACAATAAAAGCTTTAAAAAAAATAGAAAAGTATACTAAATAATGAATAGGGAAAAAAGAAAGGCAGTCATATGAAAACAGTTGGTGCATATGCAATAAAATCAAAGATAAAAACTCATCCAAATATTAGTCCTTGTCCAAATCTTTCTCCTACAGTGTCTTCAACAGCTATCCTACTAATGGTCTAAGGTCCCACTTACTTTCAGCTGATGTGCACATCTCATGCTTTGTCCATTTATTAAGAGAAACAGTTACTGAATTCTTATCATGTACCAGGCACTGTGCAGGACTCCATAAAAATGAGTCTGATACAGTACCTGTCCTGATGTATCACAGACTAGTGGCAAAGAGAGACTGAAACAAATAATTAAAACAAAAAGCAAGAACTATGGAGTCCTGGTGTGGTGCTGTAGAATCAGCACTGGACTGCTAACCACAAGTTCAAACCCACTAGTCACTCCTTGGAAACCCTATACAGCATTTAACAACAAAGACAACAAAGGTAAAAATGGGTGTAGGAAACAACCTCACCATAGCCACAGAGTCAATTCCAACCCTATAAAGGGTTTCCAAGATTGTAAATCTTTATAGGAGCAGACAGCCTCATCTTTCCCCAATAGAACAATAGGTGGGTTTCAACTGTCAGCCTTGTGATTAGCAGTTCAGTGATTACTTATCCTATAGGACTACTAGGGCTCCTTCATGTAGAGTATAATGGTCACAAAAAGAGGGTGTGCCTACTACTTGAAGGGACAGTAGAAAGGTGACATGAGGGATAGGCAAGAACAGTCAGAAAAAGTTACTTGGAGGTAGCCCCTAAGCTACATGTGAAGAGTCTAAGAGTTAACTAGAAAGCTGGAGATTGGAAGGACTAGAGTTTGGGGGCATCTCGTGCTATAGGAATGAATTATAGCAGGAACATGACCTACATTTCAAAACACATCACTTGGGAGGCGGGGGGTGGGGAGATCTGAGGCAGGCAAGTTATTGCAATAGTCCAGACAACAATAGCTGATGAAGGCAATGATAAAGACGGAAGGAAACAGAGAAGACATAGATTTAGTATGATTTAGTGACTGAAGGAATTCCAGTGTGGCGCTGTAGGATCACCACTGAGCCGCCAACCCCAAGGTCAGCAGTTCAAACCCACCAGCTGCTCCATGGAAACCCTACACAGGGTCACTATGCATTGGAACAGACTCAAAGGCACTTAACAACAACAGTGACTAATCAGTTATAGAAAAACAAAGAAGCAAGAGAGAAGTTTGACTCACCAGTTAACAGCCTGAGTTACTAGATGAATGAGGTAGCTACTAACAGGGTGGAGCACACAAGAGTAGGAGCAGTTTTAGAGTAGGGGAAGATGATGAGTTCAGGCTTGAACATGATGCATTTGAGGTGCCCCACGAAATCTATCAACAAAGAAATCCAACATGTACCTAGACACCAGACCAAGCAAGGAATACAGATTTGGAAACCAGATACATTTAGGCAGTGGTTGAAGATATTACTAGACAAGATTCAGCCAGAGTGAACACATGCAGTGGGAACAGCTAACAGTTAAGGATGGAGTCCTGGGATGTACCAATATTTTAGGTGTGCACAGAGAAACAGCTCACAAAGGATGCTGAGCAGAAATGGTAAACAAACCAGGAGAGCAGGGTGTCACAGAAGCCACAGGGTGAGTTTCCAGAGGTACTGAATGGACTACATATAATAAACTTCTTGAAAGAACCCACAAGCATCATCCCTACGGCCTCACTTCTCATTCACTCATTAAATTCCTGGGCCCCAAAGTTAGAATTCTCTCTGACACAGTTTTTTGTTTTGTTTTGTCTGTCTTGTAAACTTACTTGCCTTCATCTCTCCCACTTGCTTTCATACACTACTCATTCTTGTTTTCTCTAGATTTTTTTCTTTAATTTTCCATTTTCATCTGGATTATTCACTCTTTCTTCAGCTTTTCTCACTTTACTCTTCTTTGACCCAATGCAAGCAAACATTTCTGGCACTGAGATACAATATGCTACATTGTAAGAAAAACCCAAAAGATCAGTTAATGTTGTTGTTAAGTGCCATGGAGTCGGTTCCGACTCACAGGGACCCTATAAAGGGTTTCTGAGGAGTGGTTGGTGGATTTGAACTACTAACCTTGTAGAGGGGAAAGTGAGCAGTTCAAACTCACCAGCCACTCCTCGGAAACCCTGTAAAGAGTCTCTAAGAGTCTGAATTGGATGGCACTTAACAGTAACAACAACAATGCATTCCATTACTCACCCCATTCATCCCTTAGGGAAGGCCTGAGGAAAGAAGGAATCCTGTTACCTCAATTAGTTCCCTCAAATAAATGTTGCAACATTAAGCACTTTACGAGGGAGTAAAGTATTTATGGGATAAGATGACAGGAACTTGTAATTGATTTGGGAGAAGGAAGGAGTTCGATTGAGTTGGCAATAAGAAGGTTCTGATGACCTGACACAACCTAGGATGTTGACTGTCCTGGGAAAACTTAAGACAATGCCTCTATATGAGAAAAATGCATAATTTCTAAACTTGACAGTGTATGATATGTTGTTGCTGTTGTTGTTAAGTTGGTTCCGACTCACAGTGACCTGTATAGGGTTTCTAAGAAGTGGCTGGTGAATTTGAACCACCAACACTGTGGTTCAAACAACCTTGCGATCTAGTGCTTATCCTACAGCGTCCCACCAGTCCTCCTACCTAATGATGCATAATATTATTACATATATAACAATATATATGGCTCAAAATATGAA